ATTCTTAAAAAATTATCGTGTTACCATGACAACTACTTTAGAACTTCATGTTCGGAAAATACAATGGTTTTGTCAGCAAGGCGAGGGTTTCTGCATGCATGTATTTTCTAGTATAATGATGATGGTGGTGGTGATGGTGTTTATGGTACTGGCAGTGATGATGGCGATGATGTTGGAAATACGGTAGTGATGGTAGTGGCCAGGTGGTGATGGTATAATGGTGGTGATGATGGTAGTGAGTAGTAATGTTGTTGTTGTTGTTGTTGTTGTTGTTGTTGTTGTTGTTGTTGTTGTTGTTGTTGTTGTTGTTGTTGTTGTTGTTGTTGTTGTTGTTGTTGTTGTTGTTGTTGTTGTTGTTGTTGTTGTTGTTGTTGTTCCTAGTGGTAATTATTAATTAGGTTGTTGGGTTTTATAAAACGACATGTAGTAACAGTCACCTATTACTGATATGTAGCCTACAATGCGAATCCTACAGGTGAGTTTCGCACCACGTAATATCAGTGAATTTATGATATATTTTCTTTTAGATCTGAACATCATTCAGACATTGAAAGATCTGGTAACGTGCAGCCATGCTAGAGCAGTTCTGTTCTTTATTGAGTCTATTAACAGCAAGTGTATGATGCGCAGTTATAGCTGTGGAACTAAATGGTTGTTTGATAATGGCCAATGTTCATCGTGTACAGATCACCTTAATGAATGTCAAATTATGGGTTTTTATGCCAGAATGCCACCATCTAAACTTCCAGTGCAGTATCACCTGGCAACACGATCTCGAAGTCCTTTTTGTGGTAAGTTTCGTTTGTCATGCAAACGAGAGCCTGTCTGCATAATGTTATATCTTAGAATGGAAAGTCTATTTGTTTCATTTGATGATGAAGTTATAAATTAAACTAAACTAATAAAACTAAACTACATAAACATAATACAGCCTTTTAGCATACAATTTTTGAATATTGTCAAACTTAATACCGTCCAATGACATTTCATATTCATAATTAAGTCATTAATACTTAAAGTGCCCCTGAGATAAAAAAATTTGTGCTACATTTTTTTACATAAACGTGAAGAACCCAGCATTATAAACCAATGTTCAAAAATTCAAGCGATTCCGAGCACGAGAAGTCGGCTTTTTTCAATTGTTTTTAAACGAAATTTTCGACCGCCATTGCGAGAACATGTTCCGGAAATCGACAGCGTTCGTAGCAGAAAAGCGACAGGAAGTGACGTCAAAGACTCAACAACAAAGATGCTCGAGGCAATTTGCCATATGGAAATTAGGCGCGTATTACGAACTTGTATTGCTTTTTTCCACGTATTTGAATTAATCTGTTGAAAATTAAATAATGCCATCAGCTAGGTGCGTAGTTCAAGAGTGCAGCAACGTTTCTAATCTTGGAGCTGGCATATCATTGCATCGTAGTCCTGCAGACAAAACGGAGTATGGAAAATGGTTGAGATTTGTTCGTACGCACCGAGCAAATTTCAATCCCAAAGGCGTCTTTGTGATCTGTTCGGGACACTTTCGAGAGGAATGTTTCGATGGGATACATATGAAAGGTTCTAGACGCAAACTTCAGCCACTTTCTATCCCAACGATATGGAAAAAAGAACCACAGAAACCTTTATCGGAGAGAAGTCGACGGAAGGTAGGCTTTTTTTAAAAAAAAAGATTATATACAGTATTTAAAATACTGTATATATAAAGTTAATTTATACATATTTTGTATTTATTTTATTTTTATTTTACAATCTTTGTCAAATAAATGACAGGTTATACCCTCCTTTACTATTGTCAAAAATCTAAACTGATTTTCATGTGCCGAACCTAATGCAAATGAACTCAAACAAAGACTTTAGGCATTTGCATTATTAGTTCGGCTTCGGCGCATGAAAAAGTCGACATAGAACGTGGCCTATAAAGTCACATGCATGTCATACAGGGTCTTAGCTAGGATTTTATATCTTGGGCGTGTTTCTAATGACCAGGGCGTGCACATGTCAATTACTTTGAATAGCAAAATAATGGCTCTAGTTATGCTCGCCAACAACAATGCCTGTGGTTGTTCTATGCTTTGCAGCCAAATACAAGGCGAGCATACGCTCATATTGCGCACTGACAATTAAGTTATTTCAACAAAATTAAAACCATTTCAACACCATACAGTTCCCATTATCCATCAAAACATTAAAACATCACGGATCACTTTTGCCAATTCAACAACAACAGTAGATTCTACAAATTTTCTTGACGTAAATAGGAAGAAATTCTGTCTGTCGTAAGTATAGCACCACCTTATTTTATGAACCTATATACACGGCCTTATATAAATAGTGAAGCCGCGTTCATTTTATCTAGCCGTGTTTTTGCACTTTTGGCCGCGATAACACGGCCAACACGGCCCTCTAGCTAAGACCCTGATGTCATATTGCATTGAGAACGTACAATACATTTTAAGACAACTGGTCAACATTTATACTATAATAAACTTCTCAAATTGTTTTCAGGTCATCAATGAAATTCTCAGTGGCAATGCAGAAAGTAGTCAAAATAGTACCTCGTTTGGAAACGAAAACTATGCTAACAGACCTATAAACACGCCAGTAAGAGTAACATCGACCTGGAAATAAGCGTATTGAAAT